AATATTAAAATATTTTTAATTAAATCTCACTCCAAAATAAAACAGTTAACTATTTTAAATTAATATCATCTTTTTATATTTACCTTTATTTCATAGGTGTTTAACTTAAAAATAAATATAAAATAATTTATTTATTAAAAATATTTTTTAAAAAAATATTAAATATGCTTTAAAACTTTAAAAATATAGTATATTTTTTAAAGGTAAGTAATGAGAACCGGAGTGTTATTGAGTCTTGACATCCTCCTAGGAAAGAAATTTCTTGGTTTTCTCCCTAAAGTCTAAACTTTATTGGGGTGTTGAGAGAGCAGAGGTTCTAAGTAACTCAAATTCCAAGTCCGTAGTCGTAGATATTGGAGGTGTGTCGGCATTGGTCCAAAACAAGATACGGGATCTGAGTAAAATGGGAAACAATTAATATATTTATTAGGGCTTCTAATTCTTTTGAAATAATAATAATAATAATAATAATAAAGCCAACAAAAAGGTCCAGCAAAGCATACTGAGAGGATCAATGACTTTGAATTTGATTGACACTGGAGTCCGAAGTCAACCTCACAACTGCTCCTTTTTTGAAGGGCGCTCTCAGTATTATTCATGACACTAGCACCTTGATTACCCCCAAGGGAGAATGGCAACTGAATTTTAAGAGATCAATTTATTCAATTTAAATCTCAACTAATTTTAAAATAATAACAAAGCCCGTGGTTCTTAAATAGTATTTTGATATATTAGGAAAAAATTAAAACACCCTTATTTAAACCATGTTTTCTATTAAAATTGAAAAAAATGAATTGTAGATTTATCATAATAAAATTGTAAAATTAAAAGATAAACTTACAAATCACTGGCCTGTTAAAATAATGAATTGTTACTTTTCAATTTTAATCATTAATATTTGTGTTTCATATTAAAAATTAAAAAATTAAATTATAAAATTATCATAATAAAATTAAAAAATTGAGAAACAAACTTACAAATTCATGAGATTGTCAGAATATATAATTAAACTTTAATTAACATTTGTGTTCATTATTTAAATTGAGAAAATAAATTGTAAATTTATCATAATAAAATTATAAAATTGAAAGATAAACTTAAAAAATTTTAAAACTATTTGAATCAAAGTCGAATCTGACCTACTAAAATCCAACAGGTGAATCATGCTCACCCCAACATTGTCATGCCCATCAAGGTGAACCAGAGCGTATTGAAGCAAACAGGAAACGACAGTAGTTGGCTTATAAATGAAGAAGAAAGGGAATAAATTGATATAAGAGATGGGAAGCTAGACAAAGAAACGCGACTGGGGAATGAATTAGAGGGATGGGGAGAGATGGATCGAGCCAAGAGGGCTTGGTGTAGAGAGAGAGAGACATGAAGAGGGCATGGTAAGGGTGTTTCAGTCTTTTTTCTCTGTATCGAAATGCCATTTAAGGATCTTGAGATTTTATTAGTACTCTAAAATTAATTAAAATTTAAGTTGAATAAATTGGTCTCCTTAAAACTTAATCATCATTTTGCCTTACCCCCAACCCTAGTAGGTTAAACACTAGCATTTGATCACATGTTAGCTAGGCAATCTTTAAATATATAATCCTTTGGTTTTATTTAAAAGTCATTTTTAACATATTTTATTATGATTAGAATTAAAAAGAAAACTTAAAACTCATTATAACTCTCTAAAGATGATGATGAGATGGAAATAATGGTATTAAAAATACTAAAATGTGACCATAGTCGTTAATCTATGCTTAGGTAGAATTATAATTCAACATATTAACAGTATTATCTATCCTGTTCTGTTTCATGTTTCATGATTCAATATGTTAAATTATAATTTCATTTCAATACAAGTTGGCATTGTTAGTCAATGGTTAGCATATTTAACATTACGTCACCTCATCATTCTTTTGAACATATTAAAAAAATATAGGAATTAATATTACAAATGAGATAAATTAGAGGGACCTAAGCAACAAAAAGAACTACAAGAACTTATACCAAAATACATTAAAACTATCGGATCAATATTTATATTTTTTTCAAAAATTTAATATTCTCTATGTTCTAAATTATAAAACACTTTTAGATAAAATTTTATATATCAATAAACCTTATTAGATACACTTAATAACCTTATCTTTCTAAAATAAAAATATAAACTTTTAAAAATACTCATTATTTAATATATTAAAAATAGAAGGGATAAAAATTAATTATAATGAAAGAAAGGATAATATTAGAATCGGTGCATTTAATAAAATCTTAATCTACTTAAAGTGTCTTATATTTTAAAACGAAAAAATTCTTTTATCTATAATTTGGGATGATGGAAATACTTTTTACTTTTGGGTAAGCGACTTGTATATGACATTATCCCTGATTCTAATGCCTTATATACAAGATGAGAGGACGTTAGAAGTATTTAACTAATTTTAGGTTACGTTTGATTTTCATTTTTGGGATGACAATGTAAAAGGGTTCTTTGGGAATGTTCTTTGTGTTCATAAGTTGTTCGGCTATGTTTTTAATGATTTGAAGATCCATTTGCCATGAAACTGAAAGCTCATTTATGAAAAAACTTGTCTGAGTTACTTTTGGTTTTTTAGCTTTTAAAAAAATATCTAACAAACGTTTTTGTCTTTTTAACCATTCCTTTCACACAAAAAATATATTCAAATGACCTCCGTTTGTCAAATTAATTTTCTTAAAAAATGTATCTAAATATTAATCACGCTAAACTTTAATTTGAAAAATGAACTTTTGATAGGCATACTTTCAACAAACTGAAAATGGAGTCATTGAGGTTTAAAATCTGAGAAACAAGGGGCCAAGCGAGAATAGAGTTGAAAGGAAAGACGGTTTGACTACTGTCTTTGTTTTCAAATATAAAAAAATTATCATGTATTTAGTTATTTTTATTTATAAATAAAATTATAAATTTTAAAAAGTGTTTATCACATTTTTTTTTATTAAATTATCACTCATAACGTTAAAATTTATTTTATTAATTACAGAAATGATTTAGTTTAAAAGTAGATTGGTTGATGCAAGGCACAACTCAATTTTTTATTGGCTGCATCTATTCAGTTCCTCGTTAAACTTCAAGAATATGTCATTGACCTTTACGCCATTAATTGTTATGTTCCTTGTTTATTTATTTTTCTTGTTTGGACCAGCGTTCATTGTTTATTTATTAGTGTATTAAACTAATTGAAGTTCAAATGGTATGGCATATTTTTAATCTATTCAATTAATTGTACTTCCCTACTTAATTAGATACGTATCATTGGGAGATCCTGGCTTTATTCTTGTCGGTGGATTGAAGCTAAAATATTTCTTCAATGTTCTTTTGTATGAATAGTAATGGTTCCATTGAGTAGAAGATTCAATAGTAAATACTTGATTCTTCTCAAGTGAGAGGGTTTGAATATCGGTTGGCAATAAAACGAGGGTTTGGATATTGAAAGGCAATATATATATATTTTAAACACACCCTCCCAAGAGGTAGGGAGAAAGGAGAATGGCAAATAAAGACTCTTAAAAAATATTAATGTTATGTTAAATTTTTTTTATAATTAAAAGTTTTAAATTCAGTATTTTTTTTCCTGTTTCAATTGTCATTTTTAAAATATTTATATAAAATTTAATGAGTGTATAATTAAAAAGATATAAAAAATTTAAGTAATTAAAATTTCACCTTAACTTTTAAGAACCGTAACCACTTACCCATGTATATTGAGTGAACTAAGCTGATGATATATATCGTTACCTAACAAAAATCTAAAAGCATAAATATAAATAATACTTACAAAAGTAAAACAAAAGTACAATTTCCGAAGATGAACATCTTAAACAACTCCTTTACATGATGAGACACATTTATTTAAAAAAAAATAACACGACAAGTTAAAATTATTGCAGTGATTTTTTCACAATTAAGGGAAAAATCAAACTAGAATTATACTTTCTTTTTATTCTATTTATATGATAGAGAGAATATATGATACTTTAATGATTATTATGTCAATATTTACTTTTTTCTTCTATTAAATGTTGATAATCTTATTAAATGTTAGAATATTATATTTTTAAAGTATATATATTTGACAATGATAAAATTAAAAATTTATTAAATTTTTAGATATAGTTAATAAAGTTTAAAATTTTATTTAATTTTGATGAAAATGTTAGAGTTGATTTATAAATAAGACTAAATTGTCCATATTATAAGGCACCTTGTAGAAGAATTATTTGGTTATTAACATAAGGCAGTTAATGAGTTAATGAGGTATTAATTATGATTTCCCAATATTATCTCTATTTAAATCCATTAACTATGAAAAAGAATCTAATGCAAATTTGAAAAAAAAAATAGGATCTATTTTCAAACAAAGTTATAACTTAATTACATCTCCTCAGTATCAATAAAATAGTCAAGGGAAAAATACTTAGATAAATCGAGTACACCATGTCATTTGTAATTTGTTTAATTAAAATATTTCAAGTAATATAAATAAAATCTTGTGTGACTTTTTTTAAATTAATTTTATTTTTACAATAGAATGCAGATTTATTTTTTATCTTTTTTCGTTCTACTATTATTAATATCAAAATCAATTTATAATTCATGCGATCTATATATCATGTTTTTATCGAACATACCACAAATAACCTGATGCACCCAGTCAATTTAAATATTTATTTAGTGAGGTGTGCCTTATAATAAGAGCTAGATGGAATACCTAATAGCAATAGAAAATACTTTTTCTATAGATAATTTTGAAAAAATTTGACATCTTAAAATATAAAATATTTTTTAAAAAATTAATATTTTATTAAATAAATTTATTTTAATATTACTTTCTCTCAATTTCTGTTCAATTCTCTTTTTTATATGTTATATAAAGAAGAATTTTAAAAGTTTACATATTTATTTTTAAAAAATAAAATTATTAAATATATTTAATAAAATTTATTGAAAAAGCTTCTATAACTTGAGACGGATAGTATATTGCAGATACAATTAATGAGGAAGGGTCTGATTGTAAGCTAATTACTCAACAAACAAAGATCAGAGGCCAACACAATTTCTTGAGGCGGTGACTCCGCCATCAACAACAAGATTATGACCACTCACATACTTAGATTCATCACTTGCAAGATAAAGTGCAGCTTCTGCAATATCCTTCGCCTTCAATGTCGCCCCCTTCAAGTTCCCCAATCCTCTCACAAACTCCTCCATCTTCTCCACTTCCTCTTCCACAGGCAATCCAAAGCTCATGCTTCCTTCTCCTTCTCCTTCTTCTCCTTCATCGTCTCCGCTTCTCCACGCATTCACCAGCATCGAAGTCGCCACTCCGAATGGCGATATACAGTTCACTCTGATCCCATATTTCCCCAGCTCGCAAGCTGTGTTCTTCGTCAGCCCAACTATGGCGTGCTTTGAAGCTGTGTACGCATGAGGACCCAGCCCTCCCATCACTCCGGCGACGCTCGACGTCGATATGATGCACCCAGATCGCTGGGGAATCATCACCCTCGCCGCGTGCTTCATTCCGAGGGCCACGCCTTTCACGTTCACTCTCATGACTCGGTCGAACTCGTCGGCGTCGAAGTTCACGATGCTCTTGTTCTTTGATTGATTCCCTAAGATCCCGGCATTGTTGAAGATTATGTCGAGCTGGCCGTACCGAGAGATTGTGGATTGCACTAAATTTTTCATGTTGTCTTCGGAGCTGACGTCGCAGTGGAAGAACGTGACTGAAGGAGATAATGTCTCAGCGAGCAGAGATCCGAGAGCGTCTTCAACGTCGGCGATAACAACTTTGGCTCCTTGCTTCACAAAAAGTTTCACTGTTGCTTCCCCTATTCCTCTGGCTCCTCCTGTCACTATGGCAACTTTGCCTTCCAATCTGTAAGAAAATCAGAAGATTTATTACATGAGTTTCAGTCTATTCTCATGGCTCTGTTTGGCGGTGCTTGAAACAGGCGAAAGCAGAGCATGTATGAAGTTTGTGAATTTCCTTGTCTCTGAGATTTGAACAGAGAAGATTAAGAAGAGGAGAGAAGTGAAAGGAATAAATACCTTCTAGATGAAGAGAAACTGGTGTCCCTTGTCATTCGAGAGACACCCTGAAGGTTTGGCTCAGGCATTACTTCTGCAGCAACCATGGCTGAGCTCTGAGATGAGCCTCTTGGTTGGTTCCTCACAGAGACAGAGAAAGTGCGAGAGAGAAGATGACAAGTGCTTTGAAGTTGGCACAACCATATATAGGGAGTGTGTTGACGAGGGATTTTTGGAACTACTGACAAAGACTTCGTTTTTTAATTTTGTCTTTTTTTATTTAAAAGATTTTCCATCTGTTCAGAACTTATAAATTTTAAATAAACCACCAACTTGGCCCTTTTTCATTTTGCTTTAAAACAAATAAAATATTTTACTTTTATTTATATATACCCCCTCAAGTTTTATTTCTCTTGTCTTATTTATAAGTTAAAAAAATATTTTTAATTATTTATAAATTATTTCATTAATTTTTAATAAAAAAATTTTTATTTTATCAAATGTTAGTTAGAAAAAATATGTTATTAAAATATTTAAATTTAATATCAGTCAAATTAAAAATATATTAAATTTTTAAATTAATTGCATTAATTACTTTAATTGCTTCAAATTTTCATTAATTTCTTTGAATTAAATTCCATCTACAATTTATTTTTTTTGTTGATTGCTTTGATTTAATCACATATTCAATATTATAAGGTATTTGTAAATAAATTATACTCCCTTCATTTAAAAATATAAAACATTTTTAACTGAATCTTACCCCAATAAAGTAGTTATCTACTTTTAAACTAATCCTATCTTTTCATATTTATCCCTATTAAATACTCTACAATAAATATAAAGTCATTATTAATTGGGGCACTTCTAAATAAAAGAAAATGATTACACCTCAAAAGATTAAAAATATTTTATATTTTTTAACATTTAACTCTTTAAAAAATATTTTATATTTTTGAACAGAGGGAATATCTTCAGTAACTTAGGTAAATTGTGTTTAAAATTTTATACTCTTTTAAAGCTTATCCATATTAATTGCACCCGTGATTTTGAAAAAACATTATTAATTGTACTTCAAAAGAATCAAAATGAGTATTGTATATTTTTTAACATTTTGCCTAAAAAAATATCTTATTTTTTTTTAATAAAGAGAATATATTTGATAGGCAATTAATTTCAATTCCATTAAATGCATGTTTTCTATAATTTGGTTTTTAAATAGTCATTAATATGTAATTAATCTGATTTATTTATGTTGTTACTATTAGCATGACTGCAACTGATTTTATTAATAGTCAATATAGGAGTAACATATTTTAAATTTTGAGGGATTAAAATTTAGATACATCATCACCTGTATATAACCATTCTATAGACATTTTGTTGGCGGATTGAAAGAATTTTTTTTTTCTAATTTTAATTATTCTTTGTCCCTTGCTTGGTTTTGATATTTGTTTGATTTCTCATTTGTATTTTATGCATTATTTGTTTTTTGCATTTTCGTTCTCTTTGATGATCACATATGGGTACTGAAAACAAGGTTGCGAGAAATAGGGAAATAAATGGACTTTTTGGCACCCCTTGCTTTGAATTCTTCACCAAAGATTCTTATCACAAAGGGGTGTGGTTTTATTCTAAACATTGCTCTATTCTTATTTATAAATTAATTTTAATATATTTTATTAAAATCAATGAAACTTTCAAAATTTAATAGTTAACTCTTTCTAAAAAATTTTAAAATATACATATTTTTATAATGTACTTCCTCTCACCATTTTCAATAACGTTTGGCTTCCAATTACTCCATTTGTTCCAATTTTACAAGATATGTTTTTTAATAAAATTATATATATCAATAAATTCCACCGACATTAGATAATATTTCTTTTAAAATATTAAAGGCAATGAACAAAACTCATCCAATTAAATTATTATATATACAAGGCCTGGGATCAACCACTTGTTTAATTGAAAATGTCAAGGTAATTATACTTTAGTTACATGTAGGAAAAAAATCAATACATGAATTACAGAAAGCACCCAGTGAACCTAGATTTTGACTTGAAGTTTCTCAGCCTAAAATCCAGAAAGCAGTCAACCCAAAAGAACTCTTGAAAGTTGCCTTAGAAAGTGCTTATTTTCTTCAAAGTTCCAAAACAAGCTGAACAACTAATTATTGTTAGCAAGTTTCAGTGGAAGAAACCCAAACTTGATCAAAATAAAATATTAAAAAAAGTAAAAATTATATTCTCTCAAAGAATCAAACTAAAATAACTATCAATGCCTGTTAATATTATTTTTAGTGCATGAGATGAGAGCTAGGCATTGTTTTGTCCTGAGACGGAATATCTTAGATTGATGGCTAGCCTTTTTTTTTTTTTTTTATTCATATTTGATCATGTAGGCATTCTCTGTTAGTTATTTAAAATTGTTTATTTTGCCCATCAAAAGGGTTTTGATGCTACATGAATATAATCCTTGCTAGAACCTTTTAGTGATTTGTGTATTTTGTTTTTACTCTTTTTAATCTTTGTAGTTTTCCAATAAAAAAGGGCAGTTTTAAATGCTCTAATTGTCATGTGCTTCATGTTGCTATATACTACAAGCATATTTTTTGCGTCGCAAAATTTAAGTTATAATTAAAAAATAGTTATTTTTTAAAAAATATAAGTTATGGTGTATTTTTTTTTATTTTCCCCTTACTTTTAAAATCTTTTAGGTGGGTTTGAATTGATAGATTTTAAACTCAAAAAAATAAAATCTAAATTCATATATTTAAAATTTTTTGTTCACATAGGGTAACAATACTTATCAAGAAATAAAAGAGAACAATGAATCAAGATTTGAAAATAAAAACATAAGATTATAAATGATAAGCTTACGTTCATTCTTTCGTTGGAGAGATTGAGAGACAAGAATTTAGTATGATAAAATAGAACAGAGCCACCACTAATAAAATTACAAAGAGAATGAGAGGGTTGAAAGTTGGAACAACTAAAGTTTTAAATAATTAAGATACATATAGATGAATTTAAAATTATAAAAAAATTATAATATGAAAGTGATTTGATCCCCTTAATACAAACACAACACTTTGATTCAATTTGCTTATTAGAAAACAATAAAATTGAATGGATTCAAAAAATTAAGATAAAAATAAGATGATCAAAATGAATATGTGAGCACATTATAATAGAGAAGGAGTGATCAGATTATAAGATTGAGAATCATAATTTATAATATTTTTAAAGGATGTGATGATTTTTACATTTATAGTATGTATTAATTAATTTTATTATGTTTATCATAGAGAAAAGGGTGATTTTATTTATTTTTATCTTAATTTTTTTAATCCATTTCACTTTATTTCAGTAATCAAATGGGACCTTAGTGTTATTTTTAAATATTGTATTTTGTACCGACTCTAGGTTCAAAATGAAAATCTTCCAATTATGACAAAAGTATAAGCAACAAAATGTATAAATGGATCATATGACTAGCGTGGGAACTAAATTAGAACAAAATGTAAATATAATGATCATATGAGTCACGTGGGAACTTAATTAGAACAAAATGTAGAAGCATTAGATAAGTTTTTTTTTGTTCACAATGCTGCTTTACTGGAAGAGTGGGCTGGTGGGTCATTAGCTTTTCTAATTTTAGCTTTTATGTGCTCCGACCCATTCTTAACTAGCATAATTGCTCCTAATACATCCCTCCTTTTATTCTTTAAACATTATTAGCCTTTTTTAATCACAAATCCCCCTATAATGTTGGGCCATTAAACTATAAAAAAACAAGGTCCAATATTTTTCACCACCTCGAGAAAATGAAAGAAAAATTTATGGTCCCCCAAAAGCTTGTTCAAGAAAATGAAAGAAAGTGGCGGTGACAATAATGTAACAATCCAAGGTGGTCCTAATTAAAGTATGCATTAATTCATTATTATCTTGTGTGTATGACGCCACCTCCACTGCTTTTTCTTTGTGTTTTGATATGTTTTTATAATTTTAAAAATTTGTATTTGTTTTTATTTCAATTAGGAACGTGATACAAATGCCTTGGTGTTTCAACTTTATGATTCATCATAAATAGACTACGCCAATATAATAATCATACCAATTAATAGTGATCTCTTCTGTGACTTTTCACAAAAGCTTTGGTAATTTTAATGGAATCGAATCGGAGTTGGTTTAAACTTTAATGCTCTATGCCCGTGTGTGATTGGATTTTGTGTTTATCAAAAGTTAGAGCATTGACTTTTGTCAATTCCTATAATAAAGTTGGATGGATTTTATCTACAGAGAATTACATTCAAACGTCACTTAAAAAATTATTCAAAAACAAAAATTAATAATAAGTCCCATTGAAAAAAAACCAAGTCAATATTTTTATTTTAACAATAATATATATATTTTTTTTATTAGAAGCAATCTTGTTCAAGACACATTAAACACTAAATATGGGTATATCTTTTGGTGGAGATTCCGGGTGTGTTTGGATTTCAGTTAGAAAAAATTGATTATTAGGACGTGATGATGTTTGAATAAATTTTTAAAAATTAATTTTGATAAATTGAATATGTTTGGATGATTTCTTGAGAATCAATTTTGAATGTGCAAATAAATGATATAAAGAAAAGGAGTCAAATGGAGTTTTGCAAATGGAATAAATTTCAGCTTTTCTAAAATGGAGTTTTTCAAACCAAATGGAGTTTTGTAAAATGAGGGTATTTAAATAAATTTTTACAAAACTATAATTTTGATCTCAGAATTAATTTTCAATGGGTATCCAAACAGACCCTCCAGCATTGATTTTCTATACGACGAGGGACTAGTTTTTTTTGTTGTTGTTAGACCTAATAGTACTGGAAACGTTATTTTTAAATGTGATTTTAACAACGTTTTTGAATGGAAGGTCCAACAAACTTGTAATGAATACTGGCCCACATAAACAAGGGTCTGTCTCATTGCTGGATTCTTATTGGGCTTGTACTGAACAACTTCTTTGGGGCTACATATTGAGCAACTTGATCACATTTGAAGACTTCACTTTGGACTTTTTCTGCTTTGGGCCAGCAAAAAGGAGAATTCACATTTCCATTTACACCAACCACAAGGAAATATGACAGGAAATGAGAAAAATTAATG